TTAGAAAGCTGATTAAAATATAAAATATGTGAGAATCGACATAATGCCAGCAAACAAAACACATCTGTGGAACGGAGTCAGCCTTGGCCAGTTCTGTGATTCGGTCCATGAGAATCACCTGGAGGTCCTGGCTAAAACTACAGATTCCCAGGCCTCATCCATGGAGATTTTGATTCAGTGGGTTCTGGGCTGGAGCCTGAGAACTTCCATTTTTAACGATCTCTGCAATAGACTCTTCTGCTGATGGTCTGGAAACAACACTTTGAGATACTCTGCACTAAATCGCCATGTGGCTCTAGGCTGTCTTGTGCCCCCTCTGGGCCTCGGTTTCCCCCTCTGTGAAATGGGCGTACTGAATGAATACTTCTCTCTGAGGCTCCATCAGGCTTTCCAACAGCCTCATAACCCCCAGTCATCTGAGGGAGACAGAGGTTGGATCCATGCCCAGCCTGTTTCCATCAGACCATTCTGGAAATTACCGTCCTGAAACTCAATTCTGCAAATATTTTAGCATTTTGTTGACAACTTTTTAAATTTAGTAACCTAATGCAAAGGGCAAAAAAGTCCTATCGAAGTTGAGAAGAAGGGAATGGGGATGGTGAGATTTCCCAGCTGCTGCTGCGGAGCTGTAGCAGGCTTCTTGGTGTTTATAAGCAGGGGAAGCTCTAATGCACAAGAGGGAAAAGCAAAGGGCGCGTTTCCAGAGGGAGGAACGGTAAAGCTAATGAGTAAAACAGAGGGAATGTCTTTCCTGTGGGGAGCCAAGGTGATTTAGAGTTGAACTCAAATTAGAGATAATTATTCAAGATGGAATTTAATCCAATAACAGAAATAAGTTTCTAAAGGTCCAAGGAGCGCAAAAATGGGACGGGGGCCCCTTTAGGAATGGAGGAGGACCCATCGAGGGTGATATTCAAATGACGGCCCATCAGACATTTGCTGGGGAAGCATTCAAAGGAATTTAACATCAAAAAGACAGTTAGACTAGACGTATCTGTTCAAGTGACATGGATCAAACATCTATGACGCTGATACTCATCCCTGAAAATACAGCAATGACCGAGACAGACAGAGTCCCTGCCTTCACAGAGCTAAAGGCCAAAGAAGGAAGACAGATAATGAGCATCCGGTCATCCCCACCGGTGCACGGGCTAGAGGGAAAACATACAGGGAGATGTGAGAACACAGACGGAGGAGCGTGGCTGGTCTGGGATGCCTCCCTGCAAAAGTAACACTCGAGCCAAGCTCTCAGGGTCTATAGGGGAATCAAACAAGATGCTGGAACATTTCAGGAAGAGTCCCTTCCCACGTTGAGTTTCCCCGCTTGTGTGTTTGCTGGTCGTGGGAGCTGGCAGTGAGACACCTCGGTATTTAAGGAACATAGACTGTGTTTCCTTCGGTTAATGTTCAAAGAGACTTTTTCTCTCAAAAGTTCCTCCTGCATTTGCACCCAGCACCCATGAGAAAACTTGCCCAGGAGATACCATTTGCCAAAAGGCAGGCCCCACGTTCAGCTCAGAGAAACAAGGGAAGCTGGCTGAGCGGGTGGAGAGAAGCCCTAGGGTGAGCAGGGTGTGGGTTCAAGAGTTTGGAGTGAGTAGCCTGGCAGAGGAAGACGATTCCACGTTCTACCTGAGAACTTGGAGAGGGACCAGCTAAATTGCTCAGATGTTTTATCCTTTTTTGAAAAGCTCTAAGCTCAATCCTGTCTCCTAAAACATTCTTTAAAAAAAAAAAATCAGCCAAAACTATGAACAGAGGCCACAAGAGAATTGGGAAATCACAAATATGAAAACAGTTGACCTGCTGGACTGGGCATGGGGAGAGTTTCTCTCTTTATTGAAATGTTGGGGGAATTCTCTGGCGGTCCAGTGGTTATGACTCGGCACTTTCACTGCAGGGCCCCGGGTTCAATCCCTGGTCAGGGAACTAAGACCCCACAAGCTGTGCAGTGAGGCCAATATATATATATATATATATATATATATGACCCATTATTATTATAACAACCTTATCTACATATGTTTCGTTATAAGAATAATGGGACATACATTTGTGCCCACCATCACCTCCAAAAAAACGTGTGGAGGACGCTAGATCAATGTATCTGAAAAGGCTGATCCAATGTTGCCTACATTTTAATCACTCACATTTTCATCTTATCTGAACAGCACCTAGATAATTATTATGAAACACTGTTCTTTAAGTCAACCCACTCAAAGCTCACTGCTTACTGAAGTCTTATCCTAAAGAACGTCTATAAAAGCTATCTTAAGCTTCTGATGAGCTATCTTAAAATAGAAACATAACCATTAATTGTTTAATCGCTGCAAGTGCACCTGAAATCATCTCACCTATTTCACGTGCTGCGTGGACTTTGATTTGGAAAATGCTGGGCAAACCTTCGCTGTTCTCCTTAAACCCAGAAATACAAGCTATTTGAGGCCCCAGGGAAACCCACCAGAGCAAAGGATATGCTCAGTAAAATGGGGAGATGCATGCAGTGGTCCTTAGGATGGCACCCATGCTCGGTGGCCCTGTCTGAAGACCACACCAAGGGAGGTGGATGGAGGAATACCCAACCTCCCTCTGCATCTGCATTAAGCCCCCCAGCAGCACGGTCTCTGGGAGCCAAGGCTGACTTGAGGCTTCCTGGCTTCCCTGGATATCTGGCCATTCTCTAGAGAAAGTGGCCACCCGAAAAACACCTTAAAAGGCTCCAGTTAACACGACACAGGAAAAGTTGTCAACAGGGTGCGAGGTGAAGCCAAAGTTCACAGCTCTCTCTACCACCTGAGCTCTCGTCTGTCTCGGTTTTTTTTGAGGATGAAATGAATTAATACATGTGATGGGATTAGAACACTGACTGGCATGACGTAAATGATTAGCAATTGTGGGTCATTATTATGATCAGTCCAGCCATGTCAGCCCCTGTCATAGGGTCACATACAAGCGAGCAGATTGGGTGGGTTCCAAGATCCTGGTGACAGGAGGGAAGTTTGGAGCCACCCAAACCTGACCCCAAGGGCCTCTCAATGCTGGACCAACCACGTGCCAGTCTTCAGAACAACCCCATGAGCAAGGTACTTTGATTGACCCGTTTTACAGATAAGGAACTTGGACTCAGAGGTTAAATGGTTACCCAAGGTCACCGCAGAAAGCATTAGAACAGGAATTGGAACCCAGGCCACCTGGCCTCAGAGCCCATGCCGTTAACGTGCTCTGTGTCCAACCGGCCCAATGATCAAAGGGTCAGAAGTCTGTGATGAACCAAAGGGCAATGTCCATCACGAAGGGGGCCGTTCCATTCAGCCCCACCCAATCAGAATGGGCCAGAGGCTGGGAGGGGTGGATTTCTCAAGAGAAATTGGAAATTCATATTTTCATGGGAAATCTTCCTATTTTTCAACATTGGCAACTAATTAAAAGTTTTTAACTCCGTGCTTTTGCGAAACGAAACGCAGCCACAGGCCAGAGTCAGCTCGGAGGCCTCTAATTTATGACCGCAGAGTTCAGGTAAAACCTCCCAATAGTTCTGATTTGCAATAGCTGGGCTGCCCCACTGGTCCCATCATAGTCACCCTTCAAAGGCTGGTCGTCTGTGATCGTCCCAGCCACTGGAATTCCCGGGACCTTCCATCCCACACGGGTCAATTCCAGTTGGTAGCTGAGGCTGTAGAGACACCTGTCCTCCGGGAGAGGCCGTTCCCTACAGACCCAGAGAGAGACCAGGCAGAGGCCCCCCCCCCCCCTGCTCACTGCCTTCCTGACCGAGGCAGGGAAGGGCTGAGGCAGGCGTGCCTGCCTTCTTGCTTCTCTTAGCCCTTGTAGCTGAGGCGGGGCTGTTTTAAATTTAGAGGAATAAACAAGGCTGCTGTGTTTATAGGGCTGTTTGAATTCAGGAACAGTTTGAACTGTGGATTTGTAAACCTGGCGTGGTTTGGGACCTCGAAACCCTTTCTCAAAACTCTGGGTTCTGCGAAGTCCAAAACGTTTCCTTCCACATGTTATCACCTTGTTAAGCTTTTGTTTACTTTTACTGGAATGTAACCCATTATGGCCCAGAGTCAAGAACAATGAATTCATCACAGGGCGGTTTTGATAAGGCCATGGATGTCCAAAAAGCCTTAGGGCTTTCAGATTGGCTTGCATTAAACTTTTTTCTTTCCTAGAAAGAAAATTTTTTATTTCTTTAGGATAATGGAACTTGGAAGCTTGAAGCTGATTTGGATGGCAGAGAACAATTTCCCAGAAAGTTTTGAAATGTGGCTCAGATGTCCATTGTCTGAAGCTCAGACACTGGAGAGCAGTTTACTTTTCATAGAAGAAGAAAAAAAAAAAAAAAGAAAGAAGGAATAGGTTCCTAACTTCTCTTTTGCATCTATGTGTTTCGTCCATGTGCATTATTTTCACCACAGACCTGCAACCTCTTGCTGGGACATCTCTCTCCACTGCCCCCTCCAATCTTGATGGATATAAAAGGAGCAAACCCATGGCACAAGTCTTAAAAGGCACGCCCCGCCCAGGTCCATCGCCAACATCCTGGAGCCAGAAATAACGTTCTGTGAGCCACACCATCAATTTACTTCCCGCAAACTCCATGGCCCCATCCGAACTCCAGTGTGACATCACTGTGCCTGCTTTTTATGGAGGGTTCTTTTTTGTTTGTTTCTTGGGTTTTTTGGTTGTTGTTGTTTGTTTGATTTTGCTTTACAAGATTAAATATTTTGCTCTCACACCTTCATGAGACATGAGGCGGTGTTTTAATTCCATCTCCAGGACCAGTCTCTCATTAGAATTCTTAGGTGTCTGCTTCCCTATCCCTCCCCTCCCCTCCCCTCCCCTCAAAGCCGTATGTGACATTTGCACGCATCCTGCAGCTGAACTTCGCCTTCACATCTGCCGTGGCCCAGAGCAACAGATGGTACCTGGCAATGAAATGAACTTAAAAAAAAAAAAAAAAAAGAAGAAAAAGAAAAAGAATGGAGGTCATCACTCACCCTCAGGGCCGCACTGTGCTGGATTACTGATGCAAGAAGTTTTGTACCTTCCGTAATAGAGAAATGTGACTCCTTTTTCCTCCTTGAGGTAAATGCCTTTGTTGACCTTTCCTTCTACAATATCTAAGTGAGAAGAATGGCAACACTGTAGGTTAATGATCACGTGAGATGCAACGTCCAGAGATGTGTCAGGCTTACAAACAACTTACATCTAAGTATACTGTGTTAATTTATATTTATAATTAAATATTTCGAACATTATATATTATTATATAATATTAACAGGCGTTAACGTTTCATAATTAAGAACTAAATCACAAATAACATACATTCGTGTCAATATTAAATATTCTATCCTATTAATATTGTATCACATTAATTAATATCATTCCAGTGTATAATATGTGCTGTAATATAACACTCTTATAACTGCTACGTTGGCCGACAGTTGAGTTACCAGAAGCCATGTGATTAGACTCTCCTACTGTCCTAAACTTTCATTCCATCCACCTCTTCATGAGTTCTCACTGCCATCTTCACACCAGACTTTCCAAGTGAAACACTGAGATTCAAGTTTGAACGTAAAACTACACATGAACGAACTCTCCTTTTGAGTTCTCATTGAGAGCCCCCAATCCTAGACATGGGAGCCCGTGATTTTAAGAGAATTCATTTTCAAACTCTAGGAAGGACATGCAGAGCTACACTTCGAGTCGTCCCAGAAGAGCCCGCCAATGACAAGACCGCAGGGCCAGCAGTCCTGGCAGAGACGCCAGTTCCGTCATCTTTTTGTTTGTCCCATTCCCATAGCAAACCTCTCTGATGGTGTCAGTGCGATGTCAGTGGTTTACAGAATTGAAGCCAAGGGTGATGAGCCACGTATTGCTGACTGGGGTCAAAGTCGTCCAGATGACCCTCTGCCCTGTGGCCCATGCCTCCTGCCCTTGGAGCTGTTGAGCCAGATGAAGACGTACGTAGCACTGGAGGCTCTTTGACCAACTGCTACCCCAGCTCAGATTTTCTGACAACCATTGGCATGTGGATACCAACTCAAAGGGTTTCAAGTTTTTCCTTATGGTGTTTAAACTTTTTTTTTTTTTTTTGCGGTACGCGGGCCTCTCACTGTTGTGGCCTCTCCCGTTGCGGAGCACAGGCTCCGGACGCGCAGGCTCAGCGGCCACGGCTCACGGGCCCAGCCGCTCCGCGGCACGTGGGATCTTCCCGGACCGGGGCACGAACCCGTGTCCCCTGCATCGGCAGGAGGACTCTCAACCACTGCGCCACCAGGGAAGCCCTAAACTTATTTTTTTTAATCTATCTCGTTTATTGCTGGAGATGATCTACATATTACAAAGTTACATGGGCAGTTCACAGTTCATGATTGAATGAGGCTGTATAAACCCCTAAACCAGACTGTTTGCTTGGCAAAATTAATTTTGGAAGCGAAACATCCCAGAGTTGAAAGAGCAAAATCAGGTTATATATTGTAAAAAGATCAGGAGTGAGACCTAAATTGCCTGAGCTGACTCTCCCCACTGACCAGAGAGCTGCCCAATTGCTACTATCCATTCTGCTCTGTGCTGCATAAGCAAAATCTGAAACATACGGGCTCTGGAGGTTATTAAATAAGATAGTCATTTAGCCATGACTCTTGTGGGTGTGTCTTAGAAAACAGCTTCTAATGATTAAAAAAATAAATCCCAGCTACAGAAGAAATGCCGATTTTAATGTTTGTAAGAGATCAAATTTTTGACGAGGTATTTTAAAATCAACTTTAATTTTCCATTCAAAGGGCATGTTTTTCCTCCCCCAAAGAATATAATCCATTTAAAAATCCAAACAAGTACTATTTGTAGAAACTACTCATCTTATGTCTGTATTGTTCTGAAAACAAGCAGCTGGTTTGGAAGACCCTGGTCGCTTGAAAGCGTATAGACACCCCCGAATATACTGCAATCTGTGGTAACTCCTTTAGACCTAATTCGAAGTTGTCATGTTCAATACCCTGGATCTTTGGCCGTTTTTCTGGTTATTTGCTTGTTTGCTAGTCAAGATATAGTGAATTCATATAGAACCAACTTGGAATGGCCTTTCAATTCATTGCAGATCCAAACTCGACAGAACACAGAAGAAACATGCTCACCTACGGTTGCAGAGAAATTTGAGTAGGCAGAGTCATTGGTATATACAAAGGTAGAATTATGGGGAGGGAGCACAGTGAGGTTGTGGGTTCGTAATGCTGTGTGGGTAAAACAACAAAAGAAAAAAGCACAATGAATGAGTGACACAAAAAACAAATGGAACCGACATATCTCTCAACTCAACACACATCGACAAGTGTGCCTTTCATCCCGCAAACAGCTTGGATTTTCTCTTCCGACCCCACCTCCCCCTTATTTTTTCAGGGGACATTAGGGCCACTCCAGCGGCCCCATTCAGTCCCAAACCTAGGGCGTGATCGCCGCTGTATTTGGTTGCGGTTTGCTGGCTCCCGTTCCCATCCAGATACTTAGTTGAGAGATATGAAATTGAACTCGGCCATAAAATAGCCTTAACAAAAGGATTAACGGTTGTGATGTCACGAGAACTGATGAAACAGCAGCACAGCATGAAAACAACTGCATGTTATTATGACGAATGGACAAAACAACAGAGAATTCAGCGACAAATGACAAAGCAGGGCCTCCATGCAATGATTCCCAACACCATTCAACTGTCCCCAGAAGTAAAATGTGAAGCCTGGAATCAAATTGAAATATGCCAGTAAAGCAGGATAACATAAAGAATGGACCCAATGGAACAGTGCAGTGAAAGCATCATCACTCAAGTGTTTGGGGACAAACGCCAATATAGTTCGAGATTTACGGGGAAATAATACTTTGGGTGAACAAAATTCAACCACGGTGTAATTCTTTCTGATAATCTACGGCAATGAAATGAGTTGAGGGGGTGAGGAGAGAAATATACGGATCTTTATTTGAGCTCTGTTTGAAGTAATTCCTAAAATAGCGCCTCGGTCCTAAACAAGGAGCTATTTTGACAATGCAGTTTCCACTTGGAATGATCTCATTTCAAAGGCTTTAAAGTAAAGGGCCTGAGAAAAGAAAATTAGATTATAACAAGGGGAAACCATTTCTTTTAACCTGAGGTAGTCATAAAATAACTATCACAGGGACCTTCCAACCCTATGGTACAGAATATCTGGAGAAAATATGGAGCCCCAGTGGCCCAATCCAGGTTTTCCTGTGGCCGCCACTGCTGCCTGATACGCAGACAAGCAAGAGGCAATGCAGAATAAGGCAGGGCCTCCGGTGGCCCTACACAGGAGGACAGCACCCTTCTGGAGGGCCCGGCTCCTTGACCGAGCTCCTCTAAGGATGCCAGCAGACTTCAACTGTAATGCTTCTCAATTTGCAAATTAAAAGAAAAAAAGTTTTAGAATCTGAGGTGGCAATTTATGGCAGCACATGAAGTCCCAGGAATAAGGAAAATATCAGTGTGCTGGTGTGGAAAGCACAGTAATCAGCAATGTGAGAGGGGGGGATTTTAATCCATTACAAAGAACCTGTATAGACAATCTGAGCACGTGCCAGGATGGCTGTACATAACTCTCCCGTTATACACATCAGTCATTGGACATGATCAAGTGGAATAAGGAAATAAAAATTAAAATGTCAAAGCATCCCAAATCACTCAAAACTCAGACTTTAAAAAAGCTTCTTATTGGAATGCAAAAAGTGCTCAGGGCTGTCTGCGGTTTCTCCTTCTCGAAATGTCTGAATTGCTTCAGATAGAGGCTTTATCTTCCAAGGAATTGGGGACCCTTGGAAGCATCTTAGGTGATGTTGGATCTTTTCACAGGAGGGCTTCCAGTGACGTATAGAGGAGTAGACAGGTAGGTCGGGGGTACCTTTGCTAAGTGAAGTCATGACCCCCCACAAACAGGGGGTCAGTCTTCATTGGCATGACGTTTGGCCCTAGGTTCCAATGGGCCCCTGCTTCAGCAGGCATGTGGATTACCCCATTTGTGCCTACCTAGAAAACGTACATCGGGACTTGTACAGAGGCTGATCCATCATGTACCGCTTAAAGCTGAAAACAACTGCATTTGTTTAAAGGTTGTTGGACGAAATGCACATCTTAATATTTTGAAGCATAAATTCTGTCCTTCAACCATAAAAACATATAAAAGTTCTAGTAAAATCCTTCGCAATAGCAATCATTGGGGGAAGCTACACAAATGTTTATTCATCTCCGTCATCGTGGCTGACTTCAGAGCGGATGCTGTTTGTTCCCTTGTCCCTCCCAACGGCCCCTGATTCCCTCGGGAAAGTGCATTCCTGGGGCCCTGGTTACTGTCCCCACCCCGTCTACCTCCAGTTGTCTCCTGAAGTTCGTGGATCCCATCCACACTTTCCAACGGCCAGTAATGGGAAGCGGAAGCCAAGACATCAAACCCTTGGGGGAGAAAAGAATAAAAATGTTACATCACCATTAGGAAAGAAAGAGCTGGACATAAGGAACCACTTACCACCTCCATCAGGAATTGGGGAAAGGGTAAACGTATCAGAGTGACTGTGGGATGTATTCAAAAGGCATTTGAATAGATTCGATACACACTCCCAGCGTTCAAAAAACTCAGTAATTAGATGAATGTCTTTACAGAATAAAACATAATAAATAGGAATAGAGAGATACCTTTTAACTAAAGAAAATAAAAGCCACCATGCCTAATGTGGCATGAAGCACACCCATACGTGTCAGAAAAAAAGACAAGAATGTCCATTATCCCATTATTATTTCCTGCGTTTTAGAAGAAATAGCTGATACAGTCAGACAAGAGAAAAAAATGAGGTTGAAGGGCTTCTCTGGTGGCGCAGTGGTTGAGAGTCCGCCTGCCGATGCAGGGGACGCGGGTTCGTGCCCCGGTCCGGGAAGATCCCACGTGCCGCGGAGCGGCTGGGCCCGTGAGCCATGGCCGCTGAGCCTGCACGTCCGGAGCCTGTGCTCCGCAACGGGAGAGGCCAGAACAGTGAGACGCCCGCGTAGCGCAAAAAAAAAAATAATAATAAAAAAGAAACCCTCTAATACACCTTCTCACTAACACTCTTGGTGTTTCTGATAATCTGATCAGATATTAGAGACATCATAAAAAACATAATACCATGTTGTGTTTGCCCATTGTCTTATGACTCGAAACATAAGTCCATGTGATTCATTTAACCAATCATCAATAAATTATTGCATTCTTACTGTGCACCTGACACCATGCCCTACCCTGGGACACAAAGGTCAGGTGATTGGCTTCATGAAGTTCAGGCTCGCCATGCCATGGCCGCTGAGCCTGCACGTCCGGAGCCTGTGCTCCGCAACGGGAGAGGCCAGAACAGTGAGACGCCCGCGTAGCGCAAAAAAAAAAACAACACAAAAATGAGGTTGAAAAAGAGGAGGAAACCAACACCGATATTGTGCAGACGTTGTGTAAGGTTCTTTACAAATACTCTTCCTCGTTTCATTCTAATGATAATCTATAAGATAACTATACTCTTAGCCTATCTGTTATGACAAGGAATAAAATGCCCCCTCAGGCGTCACCCAGCCGACTGGTGTCCTCCATACATGTCTCCTGCATTGGTCCTGATCTTTCTATTATCTCTCTGCTTCCACCATATACTAAAAATGAATCCTTTCAAAATTACCTTTATGTTCCTTGTACTTTGCATAGACATCATTTTATGCAGATATGTTCTTTTTTATTCTGCTCTTCTCACTTAATACCATACAAATTATTTGATTTATTTTTTTCTCTCTAACTCTCATAATCGAGTTTGGGTAACAGTCCCTGGAGAGGCTACACCATCACACATTGAATTGTTCTCCTAACTTGAATCTTCTTTTGCATTATTTCTCTGTGAACAGTTCCCAGAAGTGGAAATAATGGCCCAGATGACTAAATAATAATCAACTGCCTTGAATGTCTGCCAGATCACCAAACAGATAAAATTAATAAAGTAATCCTTGTGTTGTTCCTTGTAAAAGACATTTTGTTTTGTTTTGTTTTTGCGGTACGCGGGCCTCTCACTGTTGCGGCCTCTCCCGTTGCGGAGCACAGGCTCCGGACGCGCAGGCTCAGCGGCCACGGCTCGCGGGCCCAGCCGCTCCGCGGCACGTGGGATCTTCCCGGACCGGGGCACGAACCCGCGTCCCCCGCATCGGCGGGCGGACTCTCAACCACTGCACCACCAGGGAAGCCCAAAGACCTTTTTTAAGAGGAGATAATATAATCATTATTTTCAAATGATATATGCCTGACAGTGAAAATGAAAAACTGTTACAAATAAGAAAAGAATTTGGTAAGTGAAAACCTGTTACAAACAATAAAAGAATTTAGTAAGGAGGCTGATACAAGTTAAATATGCAAATGCCAATAGCTCTCCTCTATTCAAATAATAATTCTAAAAAACAGAAGATAGGTTCTCATTTATAAATGCAGCCAAGACATTTAAGAACAAAAGAATAAGAACTATACAACATTCTCATGAAGAAAACAATAGAATCATGCTAACGGATATAAAAGAACCCTTGAAAAAATGAAGGACTTAACCTATTCTTGATTTTTAAAACCCCAAAATCATAAAAATATCTACTAAAGATGCTCAACTTTGCTATTTATTAGAGAAATGTCAATCAAAACTACAATGAGGTACCACCTCATACCGGTCAGAATGGCCATCACCAAAAAGCCTACAAATAATCAATGCTGGAGAGGGTGTGGAGAAAAGGGAACCCTTCTACACTGTTGGTGGGAATGTAAATTGGTGCAACCACTACGGAAATCAATACGGAGCTTCCTTAAAAATCTAAAAATAGATTTACCAAATGATCTAGTGATCCCACTCCTGGGCATATATCTGGAGAAAACTGTAATTTGAAAAGACACATGCACCCCAATGTTCACTGCAGCACTATTTACAATGGCCAGGACATGGAAACAACCTAGGTGTCCATCAACAGATGAATGGATAAAGAAGATGTGATACATACACACACACACACACACACACACACACACACACACACACACACACACACACAATGGGATACTACTCAGCCATAAAAAAGAATGAAATAATGTCATTTGCAGCAACACGGATGGACCTAGAGATTATCCTACTAAGTGAAGTAAGTCAGAAAGAGAAAGACAAATATTGTACGATATTACTTATATGTGGAATCTAAAAAAATGACACAAATGAACTCATCTATGAAACACAAACAGAATCACAGACATAGAGAACAGACTTGTAGTTGCCAAGGGGGAGGGGGAGTGGGGGAGGGATGGATTGGGAGTTTGGGATTAGCAGCTGCAAACTATCATACATAGAATGGATAAAAAACAAGGTCCTACTGTACAGCACAGTGAACTCTATTCAATATCCTGTGATAAACCGTAATAGAAAAGAATATGAAAAAGATTATATACGTATAACTGAATCACTTTGCTGTACAGCAGAAACTAACACACATTGAAAATCAGCTCTATTTCAATAAAATACTTTTTTTCAAAATCAGTTCTTCAGCAAGAATTTCTCATCCATACTTAATGTTTTGTTGATCCAGTTTAGTGAGGGGGGAGGGAGGGAGAGAGGGGTATCAATATTCAAAAAGAAAAGTTAATAAAACCTTTAATTTTTCCTTTTCAGCTTTTATTCCAGATTTCCCCATCCCATCCCTTCCCTGTCACTTACTCTGTGTGTCAGTAAAGGGAAGCCCTCACCCCTTGAATCTGTGTAGGGCAATACGTGTCCACTGATTTTATTCAACGGAAATCTACACCACACAGAGGAAAATTGGTCCCTGCCAACTTGGGCAGATCTTGGACCCCTGCTGCCTGGCCCATGACACACCAAGCTCATTCCACAGTGGGACTCGCCTGCTGTCCTCCCTGCTCTTCTCTCGCTGTGCGTAACCGACTCTGTCATTCAAGCCTCTGCCCTCAGGACACCCCCTCCAAGAGGCCTGCCCTGATCACCCCTCATCACCACCACCATCCACTCTTTCTCCCAATGCTTTGTTTTGTCTTCTCATAGGGCTTACACTATAATTTGAAAGTTTTTGCTTGTTAGTATATTTGTTTGCTGTCTGTCTCCTATACCAGACTCTTAGCGACTTGAGTGCAGAGAATTTGTTCTGTTTGCACCTTAACCCCGTGTCTAAAACACAGCCTGGTGTGTGTGTGTGTGTGTGTGTGTGTGTGTGTGTGTGCGCGCGCGCGTGTGTGTGTGCATGCACGTGTGTATGTGTGTGTCAGAAATCTAGGTTTTTGCATTTGAACTCTCCCCCAAATTTTAATGTTAGCAATTAATTCTTAAAAAAACGATATAGGTGGAATGAATGATGAAATTGCAATAATGAATAAATAAAAGAATAAACCTAGAAAGATTATGTAATTCTGATGCCCCCCAATTTCTAAATGCCAAATTTCCATTTGTTCAATAGTGTATAAACATTATTCTTAAAAATTATATCATAAACACTTTTGTGTTTGCACTAGGACGATGAAGAATGAAGTTCCTACCATGACCTAGTGACTCTGAGGGTCCTTTATAGACGATACAACACGATGTTGGTGACGGATGTTAACTAGCCTTACTGTGCTGAGCGTTGCACGATATATACAAATACCAAATCATGATGTTGTACACCTGAAACTCATTATTAATTTTACATGGCAGTTTTATCTCAATTAAAAAATAAAAAAAAATAAAGGGAACAAACAATTGATTCACACAGGGAAAAAACCCACTACATAACTATGGGAATTATAATGACTATAATCACCTGTGTTAGCCTCCTTGCCATCTAAATGGGGCCAATGAGGTGAGCTGCCCCCATCTCCTGGAAATAGAAGCAGCCGCTCTGTGTACCCCGGGGCCAGGAAACTTCTGGATAATGACATGGTTTATTAAGTCCCCTCGTTACAAAAGTCATCTGTAAAAGGCATGTTTATAAACTTTTTTCAAGTGATGTGCAACTTCTTGGCCGTCGCCATTTATGGATTTAGATTTATCCACCATCACAGCTTCCTAGCACTGTCCTCGGGGCCAGAGCAAGAAACCTGGCAGCCTGGGGCCAGAGAAAAGGATCCAGGTGTGGGATGGAGTCCCCAGTTTCCCCTCTCTGGGCCTCACCTCCATCAACCCTCGAATGGGGAGGTGGGCTAGAATAGCCCCTGGTGGTCCTTCCGACAGCCTGCTATAGTTTGGCACAAAATGACAGTCCACAGTCACAAAACACACAAATGCTCGAAATGATTTGAAGTTCTTTTTCAATTACTGATGAAACTAAATACCTATCTATGCGGTAGAGATAAAGACCAGGAAAAGATCGAGGAGTTACCTGGGCTAGTATAGAGAGGCAAGGCAGAAAACGAAGCCAAAACCCCCAGCTGGGTGTTAAAATCATGCAGGCTGTCTGTCATCAGGGACTCAGCTCACCAGACAACCAGCAAATCTTCAGCTGACGGTGTGTCATCCAGCCAACAGGTATTTACTGAGCACCTAGTATTTGTAAGGCACAGGGCTGGGTACCATACTGAGAAAACAGGAAACGCTTACTAGTCCTCCTAGAACCTTAGAAAGGAAGCTTTGGTGTGGTCGCCCTTCAGGACGCTAGGGGTCCAGCCTCTACTGGGGACCCCGGCTCACCGAACATCCCAGGCATACCTCCCCCCCTGGGCTGACCACGCTGTTCTCATCTTCATCAACTTCTGTTATGAGTCTGACCACCCCCAGCTCCCTCCACATTCGTGAGTCCTTCGTTAGCACTATGTCTTATTGCACGGGGACCTCGGGCAGAGCACTCACTCTTGGGCAGAAACACTTCCTCACCTGGAGGCTGACAAAGCTGCTTTGGAGCACTGGGGGACCGTATGGGATCTACGTAAAAGCACCCAGTACACCATCATATTGGCATTTTTATTTACCACTTCCTGCTCCTTAGAATAAAATGCTACAATTTATGTAGCCTTTCCCACACTGATGGGTATGCAGGGTGTTTCCAAATTTCTTCCCACTGGGAACAGGGTCTCTGCATGTTCACTGTGTGCTTAGGCGGATGCCCTTGGGTGGAAGTCCTGGGAATCAGGTTTCCTCCACTGGGGCTCCCCTCAGGATGCTGCAGGCTTCAGAGGTCAGAAGCAGAAATGCATCAGGCCTCCCAGGTGCTGATGCAGCACAGATGACAGGGGTCAGACTTTTCAGCAGGAAAGGGGGTTGAGTAGGAAGAGAAGACAAAATAAAAGGACTGGAGGAGGAGGGAGAGAAAGAAAATAAGGGAGAAAGGATGACAGGAAAGAAAAGGAGAGAGAAGGAGGGAAGGAGGGAAACAAGGAAGGAAGGAAGGCGGGAGGAAATAAAGATTTTAAAATGTGGGGTGACCAAGGGGGGAGGGGGTTGGGATGAACTGGGAGATTGGGATTGCCATATACACACTATTGATACTATGTATAAAATAGGTAACTAATGAGAGCCTACGGTATAGCACAGGGAACGCTACTCAGGCTCTGTGGTGAGCTACCAGGCCGCCCAGGTGCTGATGCATCACATATGACAGGGGTCAGACTTTTCAGCAGGAAAGGGGGTTGAGTAGGAAGAGAAGACAAAATAAAAGGACTGGAGGAGGAGGGAGAGAAAGAAAATAAGGGAGAAAGGATGACAGGAAAGAAAAGGAGAGAGAAGGAGGGAAGGAGGGAAACAAGGAAGGAAGGAAGGCGGGAGGAAATAAAGATTTTAAAATGTGGGGTGACCAAGGGGGGAGGGGGTTGGGATGAACTGGGAGATTGGGATTGCCATATACACACTATTGATACTATGTATAAAATAGGTAACTAATGAGAGCCTACGGTATAGCACAGGGAACGCTACTCAGGCTCTGTGGTGAGCTACATGGGAAGGAAATCCAAAAAGGAGGGGCTATGTGTGTACATATAGCTGATTCACTTTGCTGCACAGCAGAAACTGACACAACATTGTAAAGCGACTGTACTCCAATAAAAAGTAATACAAAATTTTTTAAGTAAAAGAAAATTAAAAAGTGGGGTGGGGAGAACAGGAAGAAAGAGAGATTGCTGGAGACGGGAGGATTCAACGAGGAGGAATCTCTCGCAGCTACAGAGCACTGCTCACAAGGCAGCTTAAGACCCCAAACTCCCTGCACGCCAGCTGTCCACCCAGGCCTCGGTGCACATCGCTCCTCTGTAGCAACATTTCTATGATCGTCAGTTTTATTATTATTTCTCTGATGGAGTTAGCTGACCAAGAAATGTTTTTTCTACCCTAAGTTAGGATGTAATAGCAGCAGTTTCTCTATGGAGCCAAGACTGAGTCCAAGCCGCTCCTTGAAGCTAAGGGCCAAGGATGCCAGTGGACGTGGGTGGAACCGGGGGGCCGCAATGTGGCCAAGGGACCACATGGCAAACACCCTACAGCTTCCCTTCCCACCCTGACTGCGGCCGGGATCCTAGGGCTGCCTTGTCGCCTTCCTGGCCACACACACATCTCTCCTGGAAAACCAGCGTGAGCTGTCGGCTGTGAGTTAGCGACAGGGCACGAACAGCCTCCGTTTGATGCGATGCTAGATGACCTATTTATCCCCAAATCCTTCTTTCAGCGTTTTGGCTAAGAAAGGGGAGACTGTGGAAATTCACCGCCCTCACACCCTTTTCAATGAAAGATTGAACTTAAACATGCGTATGAAAGAGACACGGCAGCCCCTGTACCACTGAGACGGCAGGTGGAGGTGGCAGTGATGGCGGGGTGCTCCAGCACCCACCGTGACGGCCACGTCACTCCAAAGGGGACAGAGTCCCACCCCTGGTCTACCTTCACCCCGCACAGCTCTGGTGCTCCCACGAGACCGGAGCCTTCTCCTGGGAACTGGCTTCCCACCTGGATGGGGCCGGGGATGCTGCACCCGCCATCTCTGGTGGGTCATGGAGTTGGCAGGGCTGCCCGTGACAATAATCGTGGCCAGAGGCATGCTCACCCCCAGGCCGGGGTTGTCGTCCGGACTCCCAAGCGAGGACTTGGGGACGTTAGTGTAAGGTCCCCTCTACCACGCGCATGCCAGCCGAGCAGCAAACGGGAACAAGGGGCCCGCAAAGCAAATTCCCGTCACCGTCACACAGGCCTCCCCCTCTGGGAAGGGGCAAGGGAAGTTTTCATGTCTCCTCTATCCTCCCCGAGGAAAGCCTCAGGGTGGTGCTTCCAGACTGAGGACTCAGGGGGGCAAAGGAAAAGCGGACCCAGCCGGTTGGGCGAGGGGTTTCCTCAGAGGGAATGGAGGAATCAAGTTCCCTTCGGAGGGATGGGGACAGGACGGGGCGGTGCGGGGAAGTGGGGGGATGCTCTAAGTCAGCTCGAGTGAATCTGTGCTGGAGACACATGACGTAAGTAAGAGACAGAAGATGCTTCCCCGGTGAACACCCCCATGTCCTGAATGCCCCAGAACCAGAAGCATCCGGGCGCGGAGAGACCTGCTTCCCCAAGATGGAGGTGCAGGATGATGAGTGACCCACGGGACAAGGTGCCAGGACAGCTGGCGGGGCCAGAGGAGCCCAAGAAGGGCCTCTCGCCCACAGCCTCGGAGACAAACAAGCAAACTGCTTGCAGACCCCGGGCTGGGCAGGGAGAGCAGATAGTGAGCAGACCAGGAGGGAAGCTGCCTTACTTACCTGGATGGGCTTGTGACCTGGTGTCGGCTCCGTGCACCTGCACACAAAACACCACATTGTAAGACATGCAGGGAACCTCCCGGCGAGTCCCATCTCAGCGAGCAGCACCTTGGGACATTACCTGAAAATCACAATAAAATAACAGCAGCCAGGAGTGCCAGCAGCAAAGAGGCAGCAGCTTCCTCATGGTTTTTTCGGAGGTGAAAATGTGATCCAAGCAGAATTCCTGAGGGTCTGTGACAAAGTGGCGCCTTTAACTTTCACTCCCTGGGGAAAGGGACATTTTCACAGGTTCCAGAAAGAAGAAAACCTTCTGCTTCCCTAGAGTTTGTGAACTGCAGAGAGTTAAGGCAGAAGGTCGTGAGAGTTCATGGGTGTTTCGTCTTCGTCTCCGGACTCAAGGGTCTTCGGTGATCAATAAACACACGGGAACGATCAGACCGGCTCTGGGACGCAGGGAGGAGACAGACAGCTTCTGATCACAGTTCCCGAGAAGCAATCCAGGGCTGCGGCTGCAGTGCCGAGGCTCGGGGGTGATCGTGGGTCCCTCGCGGTTTTCTGTTTCTGTCAAGAGTCTTCAGTGGTATCCACCCAGGTTCGGAGTTGGAAGTTTCTCTTTTTCCTGGAAGTGGGAGGAATTGTGTCTGGAGCTCCCTCGGGCTCCTGTGCTGGTGCGTTGCTGCCCGAGTCCTTCTGGTGTGACTCAGGCTTACACCTCGTCTGTCTGTCTGTCCCCCAGCACTTGGGGTGGAGAGAGTGAGGGATGTAAGTCTTTCTCCTCAAACTTTGTTCTGTTCTGCTTCTCTATTTATGTCGCGCGGCTGCTGTGTCCTTCCTGGGTCCTAACACCAGCCTGTTAAGCACCACTGGGAATTGCCTTCAGGATCTGAGTTTCAGAAGCAGAGCAGACAGACACGGGGTGCATACATACGTCAGCTACCTTCCGCCAGTGCCTCAGAGCCAGCGTAAATATGCATAAGTACAAGACGTACAACACACTCTGTTTAGAGCGGAGCCTCGCTTGCTCAGAGAGAGAAGGAAGGTGATTTAGGGATGGAAGAAAGCACACCGCACCCTCGTGCCCTCTACGCGATGCCAGCCACATTTTCTCTTTAACCCTTTCAGAGACGGATGAAACTATTTACAAGGTGCCCTGAGAGATCACAGCAATCCCCACAGCCCACCACAGCATCCAGGGTAGTGTTCTCAAGGTCACCGGTCCCCAGCTCCCGGGCCGTGGACGGGTCCTGGTCCGTGGCCTGTTAGGAGCCAGGCCGCACAGCAGGAGGGGAGCGGCGGGCGAGCGAGGCTTCATCTGCCACCCCCCATCGCTCGCATTATCGCCTGAACATTCCCCCACCCTCTCCGCCTCACCCCTAGCCCCCCACCCCGCCTCCCCCGGTCTGTGGAAAAATTGTCTTCCACGAAACCAGTCCCTGGCGCCAAAAAGGTTGGGGACCGCTGCTCAAGGTGATAGCAAAGCGTCAGGCCCTTAGCCAGCCTCAGCCCACTTTACTAGAGACCAAAACTTTATCTATACTGCATACATGTCCACACACACACACACACACACACACACACACACACACACACACATATGCACGCACGGTTATAATCACTGCTATAATGTGCTATATTATTTAAATAACACCTCACTGTACCATCTCCAGTGCTTACTGGCTGTGTGCTCTTAGGCAAGTTACTGAACCTCTCTGTTTCATATTCCTCAATAGTTTCCGCTCCATAGAGTTGTAACAAGAAATGAGATGATACATACAAGGCTCTCAAAGCAGCGCTTGGAAAATAGTAGCACTCCATAAATGCTAGCTATTTTTTGCAAAGAAAAAATGTCACTCAATAAATGTTAGCTGTGATTATTGTTATTATAAAGTAGAAAATAACACCCACTAAATGTTAGCTCATATTACTATAGCTCCTTTGTCCTGACCCTAAGTGGGGACAGAGCCCTGAGGCCAAGTACTTCCGAAAGAGGATAAGAAAATGCCCCCCAGTCCCCACGGGGGAGAAAAACATGTGATGTCAAAACCGTGAAGTGATTACTTTTAATTTGTGCCTGCAGCCCACAACCTCCCAGATGATCTGATAGGCTGAACCACGCTGCACAGCTTCAGCAGGGCTCCAGAAATTCATGTGCACGTTTCTCTATCTCTTCGCACTTGAAAAACTGGTGAATTCCACTGTGGTAATTGCCACCTTTACCCTGCCCTCTGGGCTGATCGCCTAAGGGGGAAAGTAATTTATAACTTTTACCTCCGCATTTCACCCGTTTTCTGTCCCTCCTGTTGCCTGCCTCCAGAGGAAAGAGAAAGATGCATGAGGAGGGACAGCAGACGCAGATTTTTCTTAGTCCAGGTCTTAATTTACCAAGAATTAGACAGATTGCTAATTAAATGGACCTCTCCCATCACCAAGACCGAACCACGCTGGTTTGTTCCTTTTTTAACCATAAAAGTCACCACCAACCTAGAGATTGTCATACTGAGTGAAGGAAGTCAGACAGAGAGAGACAAATATATGATCTCGCTTATATATGCGGAATCTAAAAAAAAGGGTATAAATGAACTTATTTACAAAACAGAAACAGTCATGGTTACCAGGGGGGAAAGGTGGGGGGGAGGGATAGATTGGGAGATTGGGACTGACACACACACACACTACAACATATAACATAGATAACTAATAGGGACCTACTGTATAGCACAGGGAACTCTACTCAGTACTCTAATGGCCTATATGGGAAAAGAATCTAAAAAAGAGCGGATAGATGTATATGCATAACAGATTCACTTTGCTGTACAGCAGAAGCTAACACAACATAATAAATCAACTCTACTCCAATAAATTTTTTTTAAAAAATCACCATCAGATAACGGGAAGCATCCCAATACAATAACAGTAATAAAAACTGGATAGAGGGACTTCCCCAGTAGCACAATGGGTAAGACTCAGCACTCCCAGTGCAGGGGGCCCGGGTTCGATCCCTGGTCAGGGAACTAGATCCCACATGCATTCCACAACCAAGAGTTCACGTGCCATTACTAAGGAGCCCGCGTGCTGCAACTAAGACCCGGTGCAACCAAATATATAAAATAAATAAATAAATTTTTTTTTAAAAAAACTGGATAGAAATCAAATTCAGCAGAACCTGCCCTCACTCACCATGGACTTACTTTTGCTCTCCATGCCAGACGGCAGGTCTGTGCTGACTCACGTCATTTACCTTTCTCACATCCTGTTCAGGTGTTGAGATGAGCCCACCTCTGTGTAAGGCAGCCTTTCCCACCATGGGGACATTTTGGAAATGGTGCTGATGGGGTGTGGGTCTGGGAACCCATTGCTGTGGATCCCTCTGTGGGCCTCCCCTCATCACCTCCTTCAGGCCATCCCGAATACCATCTTGACACTGAAACGTCCCCTTCCTAAAGCCCTTTCTTTCCTGTTATGTTTTTCTCAATATCATTTACCACTATCTGACACCCCCTACATCTTAAATATTTATTTCATTCATTGATCTCTCCCCACCAAAACGTAAGCCCCATAAGAGCACGTACATTTTTCTGTCTTGTTCTCTCTGTATCCTCAGCTCCTGGAACAGGGCTTAGTACTTAATAGATATTCAGTATTCAATCATCCAACAATTATTTTAATCAGTATACGTGTGTTTAACACGGGATGGAAAAAAAATGTTACCATTTGGTAAAAGTGCATCACGTTTGTACTGAGGTAGATGTTAATTAAGTATTTTAAATGGGACCTTAATATCACTTATATGTGGAATCTAAAAAAAAATAAAAATACTCTCATACTCAGAGAGTAGAATGGTGGTTGCCAG